GGGAACTGCTGGAGAGGGTCCAGCAAAGGGCTACAAAGATGATGAGGGGACTGGAGCATCTTTCTTATGAGGAAAGGCTGAGGCTCTTGGGGCTTTTTAGTCTGGAGAAAGGAAGACTGAGGGGGGATCTTATCAATGCTTATAAATCCTTCAAGGGAGGGTGCCAGGGGGATGGGAACAGTCTTTTTTCAGTGGGGTCCAGTGACAGGACAAGAGGTAACAGGCACAAACTTGAACATGGGAAGTTCTATCTAAACCTGAGGAGGAACTTCTTTCCTTTGAGGGTGGCAGAGCAGTGGCAGAGGCTGCCCAGAGAGGTGGGGGAGTCTCCCCCTCTGGAGTCATTCCAAACCCGCCTGGACGCCGTCCTGTGCCACTGCTGGAGGTGCCCCTGCTCTGGCAGGGGGTGGGATGGGGGAGCTCCAGAGGGACCTTCCAGCCCTCACCAGTCTGGGATTCCGTGATTCTGTAATAAAAATAGAATAAAATGAAGTAGAATGGAATAGGACTTCCCTGCCACACAGCGCAGGGCATGGGGGAGTCAGCGACAGGAGTGACACCGGGGGGTGCGGGGACGGATGCTGCCATCCCTGGGTGTGCTCTCCGTCCCCGGCCACGCTGCCTGCAGGAATCCGGCAGGGAATAGCTGGGGCAGAGATTCCCCCTGAGCGATACGCTGTGGATGCAAAACATCCTTTCCCAGCTATACTGGGAGGCAAATCCTGGCGCAGGCAGCCCTCTGCCCTCACCCAGCGCTTAGTCCTGTTGAATGGAAACTCCCTTCCGTGAGCAATAGATATATATTTTTAAGCTGCTGTCACGTGCGAGTTCAGGCTGCCCGGCGTGCGGCTGCGTGCCCACGCTCCTGCCCTGCCCCAGGTGAAAATTAATGAAGCGATTGATCCCTGAGGAAGGTTCCGAGGGAAAACAGAGCGGGGGGGACCAGCACGCACGTGTCCTGGCGATGCGGCTGGAGGGGCCGCGAGACCTCGGAGCCCCCCGCTCCTGCCCAGGGCTGCTGCGACCTCCAGAACAGAAGGGAAAAGGAAAAAAAAATAATAATTGGTCACCTATATAAATGCCCACATAGCGGGGTTGTGCCCAGGCTCTTCCTTATGGTTCCTATAGGGGAGTTGGTGCCGACATCCCGGGGAGCAGGGTGCCCTTTGCTGGGCAGGAGCCGGGCTGCTCTTCCTCTCCGTGCCCTGGTTGCAAGCGTTGTGGGATGCTGAGGGGGTTGTAAAGGATATTAAAGGCTATAAAGGATATTAAAAAGGCAGCAAAGGCGCAGGCCTGGTGCTCCACAGCGACCCCCTAAAATAGCGGGGGGCTTTGGCATCCCGTTGCTGGTGGGATTAAGCCCGGGCATCGGTGCCCACCAGCTGCATCCCCCGGTGACCGGCCGGGTCGAGGGGTTCGCTCCCCAAATCAGGCTGCTGTGATGTGCCGGGGTGGGGGATACACAGCTCTGGGGGAGGTGTGTGGGGGGTGTACACATGGTACCCGCAGGCTCCCACGATGCTCTAACCTTTTTTTTTTTCCCCTTTCTTTTGCGGACAGGCCATGAACTTGGTAAGTTGAGCGTGAGTTTCTGATGCCTTTCACCCCTTTCCCACAGAGGGGCTAAACCCTTCGTGTCCCCGGGGGAGCGGAGACGCTTTCCAGACCCAGCAGCTCCTGCCCAGGGGACGTTTGCAAGCTTAAAGCATTAATTAATTAATTAAACCCACCTGGATGCCGTCCTGTGCAACCTGCTGTAGGTGACCCTGCTTTGGCGGAGCGGG